AATAGCCGTCACATCTCTCTTTGTTTGCTTAGTCCGCCGCCTTGCATATTTGCTGTTCCCATTCCTACCCAGTGCCATGGACAGACAAATTTTTGGTGCTCAGAATTAAGAATAAACATTGCATTGTTTGTATTTTTATGTGTAAGAAATTTAGCCGATATTGTGTGGCACCATGAAAGAGAATCAACCTCAATATTGTAGCCGCAGAGGGTGGATTCAGGTAACATTACAAATCTTTTTTTATCTGACACGCAGTTGGCCCTAGGAGTTAGTCATCACAAAACTATTATCGCTCAACGTGACCTTAGCTCTTGGTCAGCCTTTGATAAGGCCAGTTGTAAGATTTGGTCAAGTCCATGTACCTAGGTGACCTCAATAGGCCAATGCAGATTTAGGCCGTAGTTATGTTAGACCATCTTGGGGTCATACCAGATCCGTCCGCATCAACTCTTCCCTACTTGCACTGCTCTCGGTTATCGCGTGAAACCGATAGTCCAAGAATCTACAGTTTAATCCAACTGACTAACCAGTTGCTTAGACGAAATGTGCCACTGTGTTTGTGAATTCTACCGCAGTGTTGTGTTTTTGCACCCAAGTAATTAATGGTTCCTGCCGTACTTAACCCTGTACAGCTCTAATGTTACACACTGAAATTCTGGGCAACTCTGAGTGGGTTAATGTGGAAGTGGGTCGGCTTCAAATAACTAACAATGCAACTACTGGCTAATTCTTGTGGGTATTGATGGGACACTCGCTAGCCAAGTGCTAACTTTCGTGTCTACTCCGCTTTGTCCGGAGGGTTACCTGGGACAACTGTTAAACATCTTTTTTTATTCGAATCGGGCCTCCAAGTTGGGTGTTGATGCAGATTCTGACCAGCAACATGCAAGGAACAATGTGCTAGCAGATTACATATGCCATATTATTTGCACCAGAACATTCAAATTCTGGCCAAAATAGTTTATTGTGTGGTACATGAAATTCCGGTTACTGTACAGCGGGGTGTGTGGGGTCGGCTGCACTATAAATGATACACACATTATGCTCCACCATTAAGCTGACCGATGTATAGATTTGTACAGATAACCTGACATTCATTAGTACGTTCACGCATCACCAACTGGGATATCCAGGGGTGAATTCAGTTGATCAGGCGACTTTTAAAAGTGAGTGCATGTTACCATGTTTTGTTTGAGAGAATAGGGGTGGGAACTTCACTGTGGTGATAGGGACATCTCACTTAATTTTCAAACGCTTCCATTAAAATACAGTTTTTGTATAAAAAACTTACGCACAAATCGAGATTTTCTAAATTCTTAGTAGTTTCGTTAATACCTTGATGCATTTGTGGAAAAAGATTTCCCATTTAGAATATTTGGCTAAGATCTATTCCAATAGCACTGGAGTCCATGTTTTGGTACGCGTTGTCCTCGAATGACCGAACACGACTAAAATAAACCAGTGCAGGTTACTCATTTCACAAATCACAAAAACGCTGGCAGGTTGCCTAGGTAACTTCGTCATTAAAAGTAATAATAATAATAATAACTTCATTGGTTAGAGAGTGGGTGTCTACCTATTGTCATGAAACTTTCTTTCAAATACCACTGGTAGTATAACCTCGCCCACGCTGTGCTTCGCGAATAAACCGGACCTCGTACCCTGAATTTCTGCTCCAATTTCTAATTGACATAACTCCTATTTGTTTCCACCGATCGTAAATCAATGAAGCATGCGTTATCTACAACCAAATGCCTCATCAAAACAGGTGATAATCTATTAGACTGAGTTCATTCAAATTCAGATCAGCTTCTCAAAATAACTGCGTTTTTAAAAGATCAGTTACCTCAGTAAATAAATCGGACATGTTAAGCGAAACCTCCTGGTATTAATCTAGCATAATGTCCTGGAACCCAGAAGGTGTTGGGAGAGTTAAAATGCCAAAGTTCAAGGTCGTACTAGTAAAAGTGCCAATAATTAAAGAGGAACATGAATTGTGCCAACGTAGCAAACATTAGATTATCCAGGATTCTCTTGGTAGCAGTCTTGATTCTATATTGCCATCGAAGTCAAAAACGGTGCACTTTGTCTGCTAATTCTTCTTGTTATTTTGCTCATTTTGAATTGATGCGCTCAATAAAAGAAATGCCTACACTAATTGGATAAAGAGAAGTCGATTACACTACTCACAATTCATAAGAAACTCTACCATGAGGCAATTTTTTAGGATCGTTTATACTTTTAGGCCATGCGTCCGTGTTTAAGCGCATCAAAAATCAGTCACACACTATTTCGAATAATGTATTTCATTCATCCGCGCGGCTGCTTTTCTGGAAATTTCACCCACAATCGCATCTGATTCCTGCATTATTAACAAAACAGATTTCGAAGTGCTGATGGTGGTTTAATAAATACTCTGCTACGACGCAGTTCACATTGATGGACAACTAGTTTTGTAGCCTTAAGACCATACCAACCTCATTAACCATGTACTACTATTGAAGATTGCACCGCAAATTACCCTCATATAGTGCTTCTATAAGTTTTTTGTAAAGGCACCATCGTTCAGTGCAAATTTCCACGCCTCTTCCACGTGGGCTTTTCTCAAGACCAGTTTGAGGTTTGGCAATTGTAAGACCTTCTTCCGTTCTTCGAAGGAGAGGGTGAAAAAGCAGTTGAGCGGGTGATTAATTACACGAGCTTTAGAAATAAAACAAGACCTTACCCTGGCGCAGTTTTAAAAAAAGCTCTGAGGAATGAAAGTCTAGTTTTCGTTCAAGCAAAAATTGAGTTCTTGAGTAGTGCTTATAATTATGCTAGAAGGCCTGACTTGAAAAACCAGCACTGGGTCGGAAATAACTGAGGCTCAGTGCTTCCATATTTTTGCCCAGTAGTCCAGTTGATTCTGTGTTTAATTGTGGTGGTAGTAGCAGTTAAAAAGGGTAGCCCAACTGTCCTTGGAATAAACCAATAAAGTTTATGCATTCCAATTGTCATTATTTTCGCACTGATCACCCATTAGTCTAGTCCAACTTTAACGTCACACGAGAACGAAGGCTGGTGCAGTAATCTAAAACAGGAAGCTGAATGATGGCTCCAGCACAGGTTTTCACACTGCTTTAATTGTCACATCTGCCTTTTTATTTACAAAATTCAGTAAAATTTTGCCCGCTCTAGAATCTGCTTACTTAGTCGTACAACATTCAGTGCTCCAGGCAAACGATTTACTCCACTGAAACTATTTCCAGAAATACTACACAGAGAAATGAACGGTAAACTGAGGTAACAAAATTAACTGGAACATTAAGGTCTTATTCTGTTCGAAAAAGCCTAATCATTCGAGTTGTCCAGCATCCTACATCACGCTACCACAAAAAGTCGCCAATCACAGCTGAATCGAGACGCACACCGCTCAAGCACTGGCTGCCTTGTCCATCAACACGGCCCACCACACAGAGCGTCAATGCCGTTTGAAAGCTTCCTATTAAAAATGATTTAGCCCTCAAGTCTCTCAACTGCTGCATGTCTATTTTAGCACTCAGTTTGTTTTACCAGAAACTAAAACAGAAATATTCTAAGTCCTCCACCTCGTTTTGTTTTCAGCTGTTGTCTGGTTCAGTTCCTGTGCTTGGGACCTAACTGCTCATGTGGCAATCGTCCTAATCAGAAGAGAAGATCAGTTAAAAATTGAGTGCTTAACAGGGCTTAATCGGGGTCACAAATTCCCGGAGGGCACCAAAATCGTAGTCCTGTCGTCGACCATCGGTCCTAACATGTCTAAGCGGTAGTCTATCTGGGGTCGCCTGGTTATCTAGTCATCGGGTGTGGCGCTTGAAGGACGTTCCTTAGACGGTATTGGCACACGTACACACGCACGCAGTCTTGTACCTGCGGTCGCCTGTCCAAGAAATGGCTCAGCCCAAGTCTGCTGAGGCGGAAGCAGGTGGTTTCTTTTCGACAGGTGACAGCTTCAGGCGGAATCTCTACATGCATTTTTATTAGGCCAATTTCTCTGTCATACAGGATACAACTGTTTGATATTTTAAATCAGTTTGCTCCAAAACAGCACGTTCGGGTACAGAGGCTGAGTAGCTGATAGTAGCTGATAGCTGATATTCGACATCGCTGACAATGACCACTTCCTTGCCCTTCAATATCCTATTCATCTGGCAGATGGGACAGTGTCAATTTGTCCAGTTGATTGTGTTATGATTGCATAAAGTTAATAGTAGCAGTGCCATACAGCCAGTGCAGACATGGTTTCGAGACAGTTGATCAAAGTGTTTAGAACTGCATAAGTGAACGCTGTGACTTGTAATACCGGTGGTTTGTTGTAGCCTTGTTAACGTGAGTCCCCTTCCTCAACCCCTATACCCATGTCCTGTGCCTTCAGGAGTACGATTAAATAGAGCATTCACCAATGTGTATTTGGGTGGGTTTAGCAATCTCCGTCGTGTTCATGCAAAATGGGCAGCTGAATCCTGTTGTTATTATTGGTTTTTGTCACTTTATGCAACAATCAGGGGCGAATTTCTCAAACGTTTTCGCAACTTTCTCTTCCCACGTTTAATGGGTTGTAGCAAAGTTAATTCATGTGAGTCACTTGATGCATCATCCCTAAGCTGCCTTTATCATCGTCACAAAGCTCACGAAAATTATGTGGGCTTAGAGGAGGCTTGAGCAAAGTGCACCAACTAGAGTGTATGATTCACTTTCCATATATTATGTTTCTTTATTAAAATGGCGTTAAGCTAATTGGAGATTCAAAAAATAGAAACCGAATTCGATAAATCTGAGACTGGCAATAGACTGAGATAACTGCAGGTACATTCACGAGTAGAATTTGAGTTTATTGTGGAGAATAAAAGGTCTAAAAAAAATACCCAGTCATTGGTTCACTTGAATTTTAAAATCTAGACAATCAGGAAAGTTATTAGTTCAACGGTTCCTTGTAGATTATGGCCTAAACTGCAAGCAGAATCATGAGCACTTGTCAAAACATGAAACGCACCACGACCTCGAGTAAGGTCAGCCCACTTTCCCCTGTCGAAAAACCGTCGCTCCCCTCCGCTGTCCCCGCTCCACCAGACTCAACTCAGCTCTCCAAGAAGGTCCGTTCCCGTCGCGCCACGACCACTGCCGAGGTGAAAGCGCCCTTTCCCGACTCTGACACCGAGCCGAGCGATGAGTCTACTTCTACCGCCTCGTCGACGGTTGAAAGAATGCCCCAAGAAATGCAATCCTCAGTCAGCAGCGAGTACCGTGTCTCATCCACGTCAGCTGAACTCCCTTTGACCTCCGCATGCGACGCTTCAACGCCCACAAACGACGATATAGGAAAAATGAACAAGGTGACCAAAGATGAGAACGAGCCAACCCCAGATTTTGGAAAAGAACAAGAGAAGAAAGTTGAGGCTGGTGTGCTTGACGATTCAGCCCCACCGGAAGCTCCGACATCAAATGTGTGCTCTACCCCTGCTGAGGATGTGGGAACGAATTTAATTGTCAACTATCTCCCACAGAACATGACTCAGGAGGAAATTAAGAGCTTATTCGCAAGTATCGGAGAAGTTGAGAGCTGTAAACTTATACGTGACAAATCTACATGTAAGTTTTCTTCGAAATTCAATCTTCCTTATCTGCGTATGTGTGTCTTTTCGATTGTTTTGGCCTAAACTGTTGATCAACGCATCACGAGCTTCAATACTGGCTAATGGGATTATTTTAACTACCGAATATTTCTCTATATCGGTCAGGGTTTTATAAAATGTATGCAGTTCTATTTTAAGGCTTGAAAGCTGGTTTTAATGCTATCCTGGTTTCAGAGCCCTGCACCTGTAACTCCTTCGTAACAAAATTTACGATTATCGAACCTTTTTGAATTGAGATGGAAATCGCAACGGTCTCGAATCAGCCTGGTTACTTTTACCAGGAAGGCAAAGAGGCGACTTTCAAAATCGGGGACTTCTTGATATGTGTGAAAAATGCCCGTTGACTCGGAGCTCTGGAGCCCTTGAGAACATTAAGGCACCCGGGAAATTTTATCGATGTATACTGAGTCAGATAGAGAGAGAGATTAAAAATCATCCTTCTCGCAAAACGCGAAATCGAGCTACTGGTGACTAACGGCCCAGTACAATGATTGGTAGAGAATGAGTCACACCTGAACCCTAGCACATTCGCGAAAAACACCTAGCTACTTTTCCAAATGTTTTGTTTGAAGGCCTGATTTGGTTACAAACAGGGAACTGCGAGTCTATGTGCCTTGCATGGTCCACTAGAGACGGAAATCACATTAAGTACTGGCTTATTGCATATCGGCAGTTTTTATTTGACCATGAGATTAAAATGCGTGCTAGGATAACCTGGCATTCTGGAGTTAGCAATAACACAATGCTTTTAAATTAGTTATTGCAGTTTGGTTATCCACTTGTTAGTATAAGGCCATGCTAGTAATGTTGTTTTGCATTATACGAAGACGCCATCAGTGCTGTGGAGAGATAAAAGCTTCCCGACCACAATCTACCACGCCTGGGCCAAGATCTGTGCGCTTCCGCACCTAGTCATCAAGTTTCGGTGAATAAGGCGTTTCCTAGCATTCGGCCACTGGCTTCACGCTCACACACCCTGTACCGGTTCAACTCTATCCTTTTGTTTTAAAAGATGCCTTTTCAGCCAAAGTACATAGGTGCCGCCCCTCAAAACGCACATTGGCCCAGCGCCCCCATGAATCTTGTCCGATTTTTGGCCAGAGTTCACTGACTCGCTAAGTGGTCAAGGAACCGGATTACGTAATATATTGTCTTGATTATTGTCAATTTTTAAAGATATGCACATCCATAGAAAACGCGGGTCCTTAGAAAATCGTTTGGCTTTACTTTTAGGACGCAATAGTTCTCGAATAAACTGTGGAACTGTTTATGTGATCTTATGAGAACTGGAGTGGAGTAAACGTTTTGGCAGAATCGGGCATTTGTTTTCAGTTCGTCATTTTACTATTTCAGGTTTTCATTTGTATTTTAAACGGCATTTGTCTGTTATGGAATAATTCTCATCAGAGGCGATCACGCAAATGAAGATTTCGCTTGCACCAGTTAGAGTCACATTTAGAAACCCGAAAAAGTTGGCCCCCATCTCATGGGTTGGCTATCCACTCCATTTTCTTGCAAAAGATTTTAACTGTTTTAAATCAACAACCTCATTCAAGCTGTTATGGGCGAAAACACCCTAATGGAATAGGAGTACAATAATGAATTTGCATTAACGCCACAACTATCAAAAAAAAACATTAAGCAGGTTTTGTAAGGAACCAACACTAAAACGGTTCACTCGGTGCTGCAAACACTTAGTTTGTTTTGTTAAACATGCTGTCTCATGTTTGCCCAGTGTGTACGCGGATTGTTTTGTAGGCGGCTGGTATGTTTTAGGCGTAAACGCCGTGGCAGTAGACCTCCTGTCATTGGAATTACAATTGATTGGGGGCCGCTAGTGGTGTTTACGGTCCGGTTATTAATGTCGATTTGGTACACGGGTTGACCGGTCGGCGCAGTTAGATCACAGATATTCCGAAATATTTTTGTAGCACATCGCTCTATTTACGACCTTTTCATTTGGCCTTTAGTATTTACTTTTAGCCCACACAATAATAATATTATTATGCAAGTTTTTAGAAATCAGGTGTAAATTGGGACGCACCATGCGTTCTTTTGTTGCTGTGGCGATGTTAATAACGGCATTTGTTTAGTGTAACCAGTTTTTGCAATGAGCCTTCAAATTTTGATTATGGAAGGGCTGAGTCAAGATATGAGCCAAGTAATTTCCGTTCTCGCTTGAACAGAAGTTACGAGAATTACCGGGTTGTGAAGAGTTTGGTGAAAAAAAATCGCAGTTATTTAAAGATTGTCCACATTTACGCCATCGGATTTCATCACACAGTTTTATTTGAATTGCAAGGTTGCTTGTTTATCCTGCAGGCCAGAACCTTGGATATGGCTTTGTGAATTATGTAAATGCCAAAGACGCCGAAAAGGCAATTAATACACTCAACGGCCTTCGACTTCAGAATAAAACGATCAAAGTAAGTGCTTGTTTGATGCAAAACATTTGTTTTTTTTGTGTTGCGCATTGCCTCAAATGTTTTTGGACCATCAAGTCCTAAAATAATTCCTATGGATGAGAGCTTTACCTTTTTGTGCTAACGATCACCGCTGCTGCAATCGAATTTAGCATTGTCTAGGTTAGATTCGATTTAAGCTACAAAATTCAACAACCAATTTCTACAGGGAAATATTAGCTCCACTCAAAGTTCATTTGTTACATCCGGACTAAGAGTAGCTGGGAAAAGTACCGTGAAACGTTTTTCTGGATGTCCACTTAATTGACATTAATTTAAAAAGTGTAGAGGTTCCAGAATTTTCTGCCAGATTTGTAGAGTTAGATGATAAAAGCCGATGATTTAATTCAAAATGAGATTGAACGCTTGATTGGTTATCTTCTAAGGCGTAACTCTTCCCTCCATTGTTAGTATTCGAGATGTTACCACAAAAATTGCTTTAAGACTGCACACTGAAAACTTTAGCCCGAACGGTTAGCCTTCAAATGTGCAGAAGGCCAATGCTTGGTTGCAGGCTTCATTTCACTCCATTGATGTATTGAGTTTACCTTTGACTTTGGACAAAAAATAAAATCCTCACCGCGGTTACACCAATGCGGCCACTAAATAAGAAGTGCTTCGATTTTCAGCAAGCTACTGAACATTTATGTTTAACATTAAACGATACAGGATGTTTCTTTATGAGTAATAGGTGAGTTCACGGAAGCAAATGTTATCCATGTTCACGGCGCGTTGATTGCGCCCCGTAAAGATAACCGGAAGTCTTCGGTCACCTGGTTTTTTATTCTGGGTGTCTGACGGTAACCTATTAAGAGTGCATATTTATTGTGATGAGCTCTGGTGATAGTTGAAGGGGGGGTGTGTGACTTCAAATGTTACCTGTCACCTATTTGTTTAGCACGGTCACACCGAAATGCACGATAATATACGCTGACGTTCGAGCTCAGGAGTGATGTGGACGCAACCAAAGCACTTGGCAGATGTTGCCTTGGTGATGTTGATAAAATTTGGCGTAGCGCAGCTAGTGCAAGGCGTGGCTACAAGAAAGTGACTACAGGTGGGAGTTAGTCAGGAGTGAAACGAATGCTTAATAATTCATCCTTAAGTTGGGTGTGCTCACCTGCCCTGGCTGCGACAAAAGAAACCCCCACATTTTGACTGTAGCCACACATCACCTTTGGCCCAAACGACACTACTTGATTCGTTTTCATGTGGGTAGTTTTATTTTTCATTGGCTATTTTCAGGGTTAAAATTTGGTAACTTTATCTGGACATAAGTCTACAGTAAGATCAAAAACCACGAAAGCTGATTTACAACAATGCAGAAATTTGTCTGTTAAAATGATCCTGCACTTGGAAAGTACTTTATATATTGGAAGCTTACGCCGTACCTTCGTGTAAGGTGATTCATTAGCAATTTAGAAAAATGTGGAAATCATATCTTAGCCCTTGTGATAGCAAAAGATTTTACACAAGCGTTAGCTTTGAATTTTTTCAGTACAAATGTTCACTTTAAACTTTTGACATGTTACCAAAAGCCGAGCTTGTGCCTTCTCCAATCGCAGTTTACAGTGAACTAGCGTCTCAGCTTCAAAAGTTTTAGGCAGAAACTACACAGTAGAAACCGTGCTGATCTCCAAGGACTCATAAGTTAATCTCTTCATAATGAACAAACGAATGTTTGAAAAAGTTGCTAATTGATTTAGTTTTGTTCAGTGAATTATATCGTCCGATATATTGGCACACATCTTTTATTGTTAGTTGTAAACCGATCGCTGAGCGCTAAATAGTTAGTTATTAAATCTTATCTTGATAATTGAAGGGTGAGCTTGAATCCCAGCTAAAAGTTATTGCTTTGCCATTTTACTGGGACACAGTGATTTACGTCACTGAAACACTGATCCTATTGTTTTGCATAGCCACAAAAACTTGATAACTGATTTGCCAACTTTGTCGCTGAAGGTAAAAAGTTTTAATGGTACCCACCGTCCTCCAGAAAATTGCTACTTTCTGGGATTTGTCGTTTAAACAGTTATGAAATTCAAGTGTTCGTAACACTTAGGCAGGTTTGAACAAAGTCTTTTTCGAATACTTAAATTTAATGTCACCTACTGCCGAGACACTGTGTTTCTTCGTGATTTGTTTTTTTTTGACAATTAGAAATTCTAACCCTGTAGTAGTCCGAAAACTCTAATTCCAGTTTTTTTGGCTTGGTCTCGATTTATGTCTCACATTGCCCAGTCACTTTATCATTTGCTTTAACATGACAAATGTGTTAGTAAAAAAACTGAGTAACTGGTAATGCTCCTAGGTTTCCCTGGCCCGCCCTAGCTCTGAATCAATAAAAGGCGCCAATTTGTACATATCTGGACTCCCGAAATCCTATACACAACAGGAAATGGAGAACTTATTTGCGTGCTGTGGAAAGATCATCACCTCACGAATACTCTACGATAGCAATACTGGTAAGCAGAGAGAGTCAATTAATGGCCTACACTTAAATGGTTTCCTCCACAAATGCGTGCCCTACTAGGGACGGCTACTCGTAAACACAGGACTCGGGGTTCGTGATTTTGTGTGTGGTAAAGTTGTGGACATAGGATCCAAAATTCAGAGCTGCCCCGCGGTGGATGTGGTGATAATAGCCTATTATGCACGTGGACTTCGTTGCAGTCGGCAGTGTAGGTTTAGCACTGCAGTATTTGTGGCCGAAAACAGGCGTAATGACTACCATATGGGTAATTACTTATACAACCGATGATTTTGTAACCCGTGACTTTACAGGTTGCTTGGAGATCGAATGCTTCGACATTGATTGTATTCCCGTGGGTTGTTTTGAACCTCAAGCCTACAACCAAAGAGTTTAAACTTTATAAAAATCTATCCAGTTTTCCCACTTCAAAAGCACTCTGCCTTTCTGGTATATCTCTCTGCTTTCGAGCTTATTCGCACACACAAATTGCATTTTAATCACACAAATTTTGGGAAAATTGTAAAATACGTGAAAGAATGATCGGGCATGAATAAAGTCTTGTATTGGTGGCAGAATTCGCCAGATTCCCACTCTCCGGATGGGCAACATTCTTGCAATCTTCACTTGGTACCACTAAGTTATGAATATTACCACATCATGAGAAAGCATTCGGAGTTATAAATAGTGTGAGATGAGCGAGGCTTACTTTCCCTTGACTCTACTTGATTAGTCCGGCAAACTCAGTGACACTGATAACTTCTATTTCACGAACAATGATTTAGGAAATGAAAAAAAAAGTTACTGTTTTTGGAACGACTTCGTTTGCAGCAAGCCTATTAATATTTCTCTGCACATTCTCACATGCTAAAAGTCAACGGAAATCAACGGTTAATATTTGAACTGAAAAGAGTAGTCCTTCGTCTTTTTCTGTTATAACGGAATTTCTAGCCAAAAAATGCTAATTCTTTATCTGCTAAATCGCTTTTACTAAATAAGAAGCTCTATAGTGATTTCAATCTCAGAACGACATATGAAGCTAGGTTCTACTTTTTTGTCAGTCAGTGTGTCGTATAGCTGTCAGAAATTTCATTTACTCCAAAACTAAGATTAAGTTTTGACGTCAATCGGTTGTTTAGACTTTGAAGGCGACTATGCTTTTTTGCCATCTATATATTAAAACGTAGCTCTAGCCTCCATGACAAATTTTGTTAATGGAATTTGATTGCATTACGTTGAAGCACGATATCAACGTGTAACTACTGACGACGAAGGTTCAAGAGTCCATTTCCGAACGTTTATTTTTTATGGGTTTCCATTAATCAGCATATTACTCATGACCACATGTGTAATCAATCCTCTACGTTGTGTCTGCGACAACCTTCATGTAGTCCAGTATTTCTGTAGGTCTTTCGCGAGGCGTTGGTTTCATCCGTTTTGATCAGCGGAGCGAGGCGGAACACGCCATTCGACGCCTTAACGGAGCGATTCCCCCCGGTTTTACTGAACCTATCACCGTGAAGTTGGCCAATTCACCATCTGGTGGTGGCGGTGGTGGGGGAGTCTCAGTCAACAATGCAAGTCTTATTCCCATATTGCCTCAACAAGTGCATCCACATCACCATCAAGAGCTTCTGCTCGCAGCTGCTGCTGCAGCCGCGGCGGCAGCTGTGGCTGCTGGCTCAGATATAAACCTCCCAGCACCACATGGAATTCCTTCTTTGACTGCAGTCAAGGCTCTTCCGCACTCGGCCCAACCACTTGACATGGCTTTCATGCATCAGGTAAGCAAATGTATTTATTCAAGGACCCTTCATGTATCTCGTGAAAGACTGAAGGCAGCTAAATAAGCACGAAGCAAAATACTCAATAAAGACTTGATACCGGAAGTGCATGGTCATCATCCAAACCAATATCTTATATACATCTAGCAAAAATTCTTTTTGATTCACACTTACACAAACTTGCCTAGGTCATTCAGGTCAAAGTCATCGTGTACTGCTCCTTTTCTGCGCGCTAGCTGTTCTAACTCTGGTTTCACCTTTACAAAATTACAACAAGTGCTTATGATAAAGATATGGGATGTGTGCTGGGATAAATTACTACGCATATTTCTTCCTCCCTCTCTGCTCTCCTCTGGTCGTGGGTTTTCACAAGGGCATTTGTTTCTGATTGATTTTTACAAATGGGGTATCAGGTATGCCACATTCATATATCAAAAAACGCACGAAAATGTGTCTAAAAACTGTACTCGATTTAATAACGGAAGCTTGGAAAGTGTCTGACTGCGCCATTATGCAGTTGATTCTTTATTTAGTGCCGGCCAATTTGATTTGCTTGGATGAGTGAGCATGGTAAATCAAAACCCGGGACGATTTTTTCGCATGTCAAGCTTCCAGTCCCATTGGACACTTATTTCGCACGATCGTTCCCCTTTAATTTTCTTTTTTTAGGCGGGAAAAATCCTTGTAAGGCTGAAAATGCCTAAAACGAAGCCACCAAGGTGCACAAATGTTTACATATTAGTCGATTACCTGTGTGGGTGCGTGCACGTACTTGCACGTGGGCACTAGTCACTGTTTATTAACTCTTAGTCCTGTGTTGTGTGATTGGATTAGGTTCGAAAATAAGACTTTCTAATTCTGGAAGGAAAGCAGTATCGTAAGCTTTTCACTCGGATACCTTGCTATGGGCATAGAGTAAGGATAGGGAACCAATTTTATCGGTTACGTACGATCCACAGTTCACGCTATTACTTAAGTTCAATATACAAACTGCCATTATGAATTCGGTTTTTGTGTATAACAAAGACCTGTGATCTGCAAACACATCAGACACAAACATTGGAAAGACTGGTGCGGCAGCCGCAGCGATGCTCATAAATATTTGGCTAGATTAAACCCCGCGAAAGAATTGAGTTCCTGAGTTCGAGCCAAAGAGGTGTCTTTAGGTGGTCGCTAGCTAAATACGTTCTTTTAAGCCGTCCATTCTGTGTATTTCCCTTTAAAGGGCTTTAATCTGATCAAGGGAACACTTTAATTGCACTGAAATTGGGGCGAAATATTGGGCTACCAGCATTATCTCGAATCAAATCGCAATCATAAGTTGTTTCCGAGGGAAAGCGCATGGTGTAACGAAGATGAAATCAGAAAAAATGCAACATTTGCTGCTGCGGTCTTCTGAGGTATTAGTTATTGGGTTGAGATAATTTAAAAATGCAATTCAGGATAATAGGAACTCAAATCTTCATTAGCGTAGTTGTTTCTATCACTATTCACACAAAACAACACATTTTCTAGTTAATTTATGATCTTGCAGGCCATTTTAGGGGTAGATTATATCCTAATAGCTTATTTATCAATATTTGCTTTACCTGCCTTTTTCATATTCAAATCTTCCAGAGGTTATCAACCGGTCTGGGGTAACAAAATTAATGAGATGTGCGTGTTATTTTAGTTTTTTTGCTATGAGGGGAAGGAAGTTATTTCATTAAGGAATACGTGGAAAGACGCCTACACTGGATGCACTCATCCCACTATAAATAGACTCTATACAAATATGCAAATTTCGCACAAGGTTTACAGTAAGACATACTGTTAGGGCTTGACCCATTGATCAATAGTAATGATTCAAGGAATGCACACTACCATCCTTTGCTGAGATAATAAACAATACCCATGGTTTCGGCGTTTCGAATGCAGGCACATGATCTGATACCATTTTCAAGTGAAAAGAGATTTCACGACTGCTCCGTCGTGTATGCTTTGATTTACTTTCTACTAGTATGCCTTTTAGTTGGTTTTTTTATCCTGTGGATTCGCCAGAAGAGCTATCATTCCTCAAAATTGGTATTTAATTCTTGATTTTAACGGCAATGGCTGGGGCTGTCACAAAGAAGGAGCGAGAACTGCAAGAATAGAAGTTATCTGGTCGTTAAGCTCTTCGTAGCTTGTACAGATAAGGGATGAAATTGCTTGAATAGCTTGCATTTCACCCATTAGGGATGAATACACATGAAGAGCTTCGAATGAACGCTGAGTATTTGATAATCAAGCAACGGTTTTGGTGATACAACAAAGGACGAAATAGCTGCCCTAGCCTGTGCATTTTTAAATATTATGGTTCAGCATTGTGGTTTGAATGCAATCCGAGAGGATTGAACGAATTTGCTGCTACGTTTGGCTTGCTACATCGTGCACGTTGCTGCCCTATTTTGTGTCCAGTCAGCATGCGCATCTGCAAACCTCAACCACAGCGCCAGAGATGAGTCACAACCAGGCACCTGAACTAAAGGTCATCAGTGCCCTTGAAGCAGAGACGCAGTGAGACTAATGCGGTATCATAGAACTTTGAACATCTTCGATTCTGTTAAAAGGTTTGAGCAGCAATGTAAGGATGTCGATAAATTATTTTGCCCATACAATACCAAATTCCTTTTGACACAATTAACAACTTGTCATCGTAGATGGCACCCCTTCCTCCGAACCTCGCTCTAACCGCCCACCCCGTTCTGCAACACCCCCACAACCCTCTCCATTTCGCCCCGCTCCACGGGTGCCCAGAGTTGATCTCGAGATCTGTTCCTGTGTCGTGTAATCGACAAATCCTCACCTCAATGACCGCTATCCACGTGCCTGCGCCTGAGGCTGTACTATCCGCTGGGCATCTCATTGGTCCACCATTACCTCCTGCTCCCTTACCCGGTTCCCAGGGCCCGCATCTTGCACCGGCATCTGCTGTTGCTGCTTCTGGAGTGTTCGCTCCCATCGACACTAGGTTTAGGTACGTAACGCATGGTTCTTCTCTTCTTAAAAGGTGCACTACTCTAGTTTAAACGATAACTCAAAATTACACAATTATTTCTATGTTAACATTCTTCACCAACTGTATGCAATTCAGCAAAGTAATCTTTGGTCTCGACTCCCACATATTGCTTCATTGAAAAGCCACTTTTTTCGGTTCAATAGTTTGTGAGGAGACGAATAACGCGAAAATAGGTCCTCCTTAACGCTGATTTAAAACAAAGATGGGATTTTTTTAATTCGTGGTTGCCTGTTATATTATTTTATTATAAAATTATTAAAAAAAACTACTCTGGGTAATTGTGTGATCAAGTAAGCATGTTTAGCTCCGAAGCAGGTGTTGGCGGTTATACAGACGTCTTCATGGAGGGCATATTAATTGTTCGCACTGCTTATGCGCTGAGTTTTCATGGCACCGTTGAACTCCAGTTTGACGATTTCATGCGCCAAATGTCTAGTAATTTTAGATTCATTCTTAATTGACCCATCAAAAACATTAATTTATTTCACCATGTACTTACCAATGTTATTAAATTCCAATCCAACTAATTTCAGGTGCTGAAACATCAATTACCTTTTTATCCTCCTCCAAGGCATGACGAAATTCTATACTCAGACACCTTAAATAACTTAGAAAAAATACGACAAGCACAAAGATAGTGGTTTTCCTCAGAAAAATCAAGCGTTTTATGGGCCAAAAAATGGCCGACGAATTGAGTAACGTGATAGAATATTTGCCAAACTCCGTTGGAGCAGTTCGTTCGAAGGGCTATTGACATGAAAATGAAAAGCGTTTTCACAAATCTAGCGCTTGCACTGCAAGAATCCACCGAATCCGGTGCACCTAGCGCTGCCCAAAAGATAACTTGGGGGTTCGAATGCAACCATGCAGCGCATGACATTTATTTGCGCCGAACTAGAGAAAAATCCTACCAAATCGATTACTTGTCGAAACCACAGAAGTGCGTATCACTGGCCGATTTATTTGTCAAGTCAAATATGGGGAATCTATGCATTAATTATTGCGCAAAATAAAAAAATTGATCTTGAGCAGCTCATGTTAAAAATTTCATGCGTTGGCTTGGGCGAAAAGGTACGCATTGTGGAGTTCCAAAGAACTGTCTAATTTAGAATTTCTGAAGTCGAACCAGATGAAATGAAATATTCCTGTGCTTAATGGTTGGATTACAAGCGCCATGAATTATGCCTTCAAATTACTGCAACATTCCAACAAAGTTTAGCAACACACCGTTAGGATCGAAGAGTAAAAAAGGAGGGAAACTAGGATGAGATATTGTGCTGCATATCTTGATTATTATCCAACTACCGATTGTTCAGGTTACAGCAGCAGTCTCTGTCAAGGAAAACCAACTCGTAAATTTCGGCGAGATCTGAATGTGGGTGTCCACTGGTTTTAGTTTATAACTCACCAAGGGCTTGAGGAAGACATTATTTCCTTGCATTGAAAGTGAGAAAATGTCCTTTCCACATATGGATGATGCTGTATTTCTGCCTTTCAAATATTTTTATTTTCCTTCAACGAAGTAGTCACGAACTAACCAACATAATGTTGTCCTTTAGTTTACTCTAACTTAATGCTGCGCATAATTTATTTATAAGTGTATCATTAGCCATACAGGACCAAATAAATTGGAAAAAGGAGGTTTGACAACAGATTTCAACTTAATACAGTAATTAATGTATTCTATTTATTTTTAAAACGCATGCAAAATGATGATTCAACCCCCCTTCCACTAATTTAATGAAATTTGGTCAAAATGGGTTCGAAGTAAATTTGTACTTCCTGGGAAACTACAAGTCAAGAACTTTGTACTTTAATTTACCTTCCATCCCCTTACCAGAGAATCGAAATTGGTCTGAAGGTAACAAAAAGAACCTGAGCCTGCAGAATACTTGTCCCGAAAACATAGGTTGGTTGCCTATGAAACGCACTGCCTATTTTTGTCATAATTAAAGCAGATTCCTCAGAGAATCTCCTTCGAAGACTACGCAATTAACAAAGACAGAAACGACAGGTTTAGTGTGACATGCGCAATAATTGTTTGATTAGTCCTAGTGAATAGTGCATAATTCATGTCTTGTGACTATGTTGTTTTCATCTGATAACACCTAATTTCGAATGTTTCTGAAGGTGTATCCACGTCTAATCGAACTAAAGCAGATTTCACCCAATCAAAAATAATCCTTTTAAATATCTGAGTAAATAAACTTTGCACCTATGGGAAGTGTCAGGTAAATTATAAACTAAATATAAATCTCCCTCTAACTAGACCTTAATTAGTAAACTAAATCCGATATGGCGATAAGTACAGGAAAATGTGGAAATTTGTTTTCGAATAAGTTGACATTTTGGAGCCGTTTCGACCTCCTAGCTAGAAGGCAATTATGAACTTCAGGAGTCGAAGGGTGACTCAGCAAGTCGTAACCTTTAGAGATAAGGAACTGTTAAATTTGAACATATGGAAGACTTCGTAAAACCCTGCTTCGCAATAAACAGCTACCTTAAAAGTGTTATGTGCAAAGACCTGGAATAGCTTGTGAGGGGTCACCGTAGGTAGCTAAACAATTTCTCAAACTACATGAACCAATTTTGCCTGCTATCAGCCTAACCTTTTCGTTTCACCATATCTGAAAATGTTCAGTTTAACACGTTCAAAATCTCTGGTGTGTTTTATTTGGGCAGCTGGCCAATTGCTTGGGATAACGCTTTGAACACGGCAGTCGAACGCGTTTAGTTACTATTTTTGTGCTCCTCGAACTGACATGCCACTAACGCCCTCCTCCTCTTTCCTGTGAAAGCCAGCTTCATTTATTCGGTTCAAGTGAAAACGTAGGCAGGAATTTCAGCTTGCTAAAAGACTAACCTCTTAAAATCATTTTAATCAATTCTGAGAATAGTAATTTATCGACCAAAGAGCTGAAAGTAAACTTCAACACAAGCAATGTGAGTTTTGGGTAGCTATAGGTATTCACTGAACTCTTTTTGCCTTTTCTTTTCTAGTCTAACGTTTCAGAGGCTGTAGGAGGGTATAGTGGGGTCCTTAGGCGAGCCCGTAGTACTCACAGAGCTTATTTATTGAGATTTTCAAGCAAACTGACGTTACCAGACGTATTCGGGAGAAGTACGATGGAACTATAGTAATCAGCACTTATCACTGTTCTTAACAAAATTCTACGTATCAACTAATAATTGTTTATGCATTTTTAAAGAAAAACCGGACTTAAAATCCAGTCGAAAATGTGGTCAAATCTAATTACATCAAGCTTCAAAAATGTTTTGGACAAAATTTGCTATGTTTATTGAAGCCTTCTTAATGTCCTATTGCTTATACCAAATATTGAACGTTATAACCTTGTTTATACGTCATGTACTGGGACAAGCGTTGCGAAATTCCTTGTCTAGATGTAACATAAAATAAGTACTGGCCATATTACACCTGGATTTGCCTGACAAACACCCATAAGTCTGGAATGTTTGCCACTACTTAATACGACAATGCCAGTAAGTTTTAGTAGCGGAGGAATTGATCTCAAAATTCGACGTACTGCACACGAATTCATGGGAATTAACAATGCTGTACGAAAGCCTTTTCACGTTTGATAGGTTGAATTTTTATTCCCCCAATGCAACGAGTATGTGGTTGCTGGTATAACCCAGCTTGGTTTAAAATAAATTTGCTGGTGTTTTAAGCTTAATCCCGATTAATCCAGGCAGTTTTCATCAGCTACGCTGGTAATTGTTGGCTCTCTAGGAGTAAAAATGGCGAAATAGGCCTACATGAACCATTGGATTATTTTTATGAAACTGTTTTTAGTTCCTAAACCTGCAGAATAACAAAAGTTTCTTTCGTTACTATTGGTTTTCTCAAACGCACCCCAAATCCCTGGAACAGTTGTTGATTTTGTGTCGAGGTGAAGCGCGCATAAACGTTCTAGTGTTGGTTCAAACCAAGTCCACCTGTTAGCAGTCAATATCTCACCGCTCTCCCTCGAATTCTTGGTCTACACGTCTTAATCGAGTAAATTAGCTTGATAGACCTTGTTAAAGTTCAATGCTGCATCTGTCCAATATCTCCACAACTTTGCTTCGAAGCCGTTTTAAAAGGAAACCAATTAAATAACTTTATGTGATCTCGTCACCCTGCGTCCTTCTCCACTAAACTACAACACTTTTCAGAAAAGCGCAGATTATATTCCATGATACCACGATCAAAAGCAACCTTTCTGTCTAATTTCAGGCTCCAAATATCCAAATACCACCTACTTTCTATCTAATGAGCTAGTAACATTTGTTCTTGTCACCTTAATGATCTGACAGATTCAATATGCCAACGGGATGCAGTCAATATTTTGGGGTATCTTATGCTGTCTACCACATTCACTTCCACTGCATATCTTTTCTCATGTCCTTTCTGTCAGAATGACATGAAGCAACGGCAGATAAATCATGTGAGTCTCTTTTCCGAAAAAAGCATTTCTTGTAGGTGCACCGAAGTACTAGAGGTGTGTGCACTTTCGGTCATGGCTTGAAAGTCTATCAAGCCGTAAAGAAATACCTACTAAAATAACCGATCTTGTCTTCTTTTTTCGGTTTTTCTTTGAACTATTTATTTCCCATCTTCATACCGAAATAAGCGCCCTGCATTCCATTCCATTGCCTCATTCATTCGTAGTACCTTTTGACGAAGAACATGAATATTTTGCTGGCTGTATTTGAATCTGCTGTGTTGCTAAGGAAGAATTGGCAGTCAGGCAGATCCTCACTTCTCCTTTTGTATAATGAGGGTTGTTAATGACAGTTGTTTGCGCAACAGTGGAAATGTCGTAAATCACGGCCAAATCCCAGAATTCAGTCGCGGAAACGCAGTTCATGACATAAGCTCAAATTGTATTGTCGTCTGCAATTTTTGTGTTCTTAATAGACTAAAATGAACATACTCATTAGCAGGGGTTTTCAGTTTGTCTAGATGAGCCACGAGAATTGGCTCCTAAACACAAAAGCGCCTCGACT